CCGATGTCTGACCACAGTATCCGCGCTCTTTCCTTATAAACAGGACACTGTTTCTTCTGGGTATCTGTGATTTGCTAATTCAGCTTTATTCAGCTCACTAAATTTTTTTTTAATAGATTTTCCAAAATCAATGCAATAGCTGTGGAATGCTGTCTCCTAAGGCACCACTTTTTTCCCTGCATTGTGATAGAACATTGAAAAATCCACTGTGTGGCTATTGAAAGTCTGCTGTTTAGACACTTGAAAAGGTGCTAAGCTTATTTGCAGAGACTTGCCTTCCTGAGAGCTATGTTCATCTTCTAAGACTGAAACTCACCTCAGTCTCGTGTCACAGCTCACAAGGGTGACATCACCACCATCACTTCAGACATTTAAAGCTGTAATAGAAGAAGCAGTTAAGAGCCTAAATAAATTCTGCTCTAGTCAAGTGTAATGAGGATAGAGTATATAACCCTGGAGAGGATTTTCTTTTCCATCTCCAGCTAAAGTAATTACCATTAACCTCCTCACTATTTACTCTTCCCCCTAATTAGCATTATTACAGTATTTTCTCTACCGACAGGGAATATTGTGACTAGCTCATCTTGCTAATTACCTGGAAGCAATTATAAATATTCCACTGATGACCACCACAGGACTGTCTGCTCTCTTGCTGTGCTTAGGTATTTGACTGTTTATTCTTTTATTCATGTTTTCTCACTCTAACCTCAAGAGGTCACAGAATTACTGGCGTTCTTGCTCCCATGGCATGTCAAATTATAAGCGTGTACTCAAAAAAAACAAACTCTTTGTAATATATCTTCTCATGTGTCTTTTAAGGTAGCCAAAACCTGCCACTCAGTAAATTCTAGGAGCCAGGACACCCTTAAGTACTTTAAAACTACACTGGTAGGATATGAGCAGAGTTCTCTGGGTTCCCGTCAAGCCTCTTCTCTACCAAAAAGGCTTGTAAGTCAGAATCTCTTTCAAAGGAGTTGAATTAACTTTCCCATTTTCTGTGCTTTCCCAGAAAGGCAAACACTGTGTTAGAGCAGGTAGAGTATACACAACATACCCACATCTGAGTGGCATAGGACGGGAAGTAGTAGTCTTTAAGTTGCAAGAAGGATGGAGGGTTCTGATAACCCCCAGGGCCCATTTTCTAGCTGAAAGGATGGTGAGGGAGCAGAGCACTTGGGGATGAAATGACACCTCCATCCTTGGACACACTTAGGAATGGCCATGAAAGCAGCCCCAGGAGATACTTGTCTGCAGTTGCTTGTGCTTTTAAATACGCGCCCCCAGCCCTGTCACCTATGGAGCGCCATGGAGGATGGAGATTTGGTCGTCTCGTTTGAAATTTATGATACTCCTCCTGGTGACTGTGACAATAGTGACAATAACATATTGCACAAATTGACACAACCCTTTCGCTTTCTAACGTCAGCTGTGGCTACTTTACAAGGACAATTTTCAGATCAGAATGGCAGCAGAGGTAACCCATTTCTCTGCCAACTCCACCCTGCTTGAGTAGATGCCAGTCTTTCCTTGAACTTTGTCCCTGAATTAGAAAGGTAAGCAAAAGGCATCAGATAAGAAACTGGACACCACAAAATAATCAAACAAAACCTGAAGGACTTTGATAATAGACACGCTTGGAATGAAGACACTTTCACGTGGATTCCTTTACTTTGGCATTACGCAGTCCTGTAGTGGGAATTTCTTTTAGCAGAGCAACATGAGCAACGTGCAACACTGAGATCTTTTTAACAATTTATAGCCATCCTCCTTTTTTTTTTTTTTTTTTTTAACCCATGCTTAGACCACAAGCTCACAGGGATGTCATCTTTAGGGAAGGGAAACCGAACTCCAGTGGAGAAATGCAAGTGTACTCTGATGACCAGAAAAGGTTCTGGCTTTCATCCTAGGAAAGCCGTGGTAGCTTTTGGAGGCTTCCTGGGGCAAAGAACAACATAACATTAGCTATAATACACGTTGGCTAAATAAATAAAATAGTAGCTTCATCAACATGACAAAAGAAAAGACATGTAGGCATGTACAATGAAGAGATTCACTTTAAGAGCAATGTGCTCTGCCAGCATAGCCATACAGACAGATGTACAGTGTTGTGTTGGTGCCCAATCCTCCTTTTCTCCATCTCTCTTCCTCGTATGCATGAGCACAAATACATATACAACACATACATATACAAATACTATGTGCAATTCAGTGCTCATTCAACATAATTTCCTGCCTTTTCCTTCCTAGCAGACATCCCAGACAGCTGCCAGCTCTTTTTTCAAGTTTAGCTATGCCCTTTCATTCTGGTCAGTGCAGATGGGCAGAGGTGTCGCTGTTTCTCCAGATGGGCAAATTCACGGAATTTTCACATTGCAAAACTATATTCTTAATTGTAGCACTAACACACAGAGCAAATGGAAGCTTAAATGGAAATCTTTTTACCTTTCATTGCTAAATACTGGGCCCATGAAAGTCTTGTTTTTTCCTGAGCAAATCTTTCTCCTGACACTTTGATGTCAGGCTGCTATTGGTGCTTCAAGCATGAAAATTTCAGAAAGCCGTAAAAAAACAAGTGGTAAAAACTCCCTGGGAATAGAAGTGCTGCTTGTATAAACTCTCACATCCTTCTCCCACCTTCCAGCGAAGCCTCCTCTAGCAGGTGGTAGGATGACACTCTCCCGGTGAGATGGGAGAGGAAACATGACAGCTTATCGGTATGCACCGTCTGTAATGTTTTGCAGAGTTGCGAAAGGACAGTACACCAAGCACATTCTCAGGCACGCTGCCAAACTGGGGCCTAACGGGTAAACAGAAAGTAACACACCAAACACAAAGCTTCTTTAAAAAAAATTGACACCAGATGGTCAATGAAATGATCCAGAACAGGGGAATGTGAATGAACATTTCAAGTTCTGCTTTAACACCTTATTAACCATATAAAGACCCATGTATTAAAAACAGTCTGCACTCTGGGAGAGCCATAACACATGGGAATTTTGAAAATAATCCATCTATTCCTGAGCAACCAGTGAAACCACCACCTCAGCATCTGAGTCCCTCTCTCCTACAGTTAGGTATATTCACCCCAGTCCCTTTTTTCCTGACTTGAGCTCCTTTCAAACACCATTAAATTACCAGAAACAATTTTTTGTTATTTTTCTGAGCCCCATATAATACGTCTTGCACACCCTAACGAAAGGCGTTTGTACACCCATGTGGGTTGATACCATAGTTTAGCACAGAGCAGCTTTGTGCAGGGAGAACAAGGCCGCTGCAGTACGCTCCGGGGCTCCTGCTTCCTCGGGCTTGCTCTGGGTCTCTGTCCCAGGTTAACGAAGGGCTGCAGAGGCTGTGTCGGGGTGGTCTAGTTTGCCAGGGAACGGCTGCACATTTTGTTCCTGCACTCACCTGACCGCCTCGCTTGGACAGCGCCGGCAAAACCACCCACGGATATTGCAAAACTCCAGCAGCCATGCTGCATCACTTAGGATAGGGGCTGTCCCGCTCAAAGGCACGATAGGCAAAATATGGCCGTTCTCGATCCAATAATCTTTCTGTCTTCCCAGAGAGAGCCATTACAAAAGCAGCATGTTTTGAATGGGGATTTCCAGAAGAGCTTTGTGGGCCTTCCCATAAGATGCAGCCACCCGCCCACACATGGTAGTCTCTCCGTGATCTTCTCTTGCCCTTGATAGGCTCCTAAGCTACACAGCAAAACACATCTCTAAAACTCTAAACACATTAAATAAAACCTCAGACTTCAGAAATTTTCATTCCTTTAAGTGATCACAAGCCTGAAATCTTGGGAGCTACTATAGTCGACAGTACTGCTATAATAGGGGAACAACAAGACACAGCAGAGACTGTGGCAGGGGATCATTTTGCCAAATTAAGTCTAGAGGACCCTCAGTGGTACAAGAAAAATCCATTCCTTCTCTTCTCAAAGCGGACTCAGGATGTATCAGGCTTTATTCAGATACAATTCTCTCCAAGTTCAACTAAGGCAATAGAGACAACACAAGCTTTTCAGAAGGAGTGTGAGGCTGTTATTGATCAATCTACCTAAGACAAAAGAATTCAAAAGTCAATTATTAACAAAAATTTAGTTGCTTTTATGATGAAATAAGAGTAGCGGCAAATGATCACATGCACTGGTGGGACTTACATGCACAGCCTTAACCAAAAAGGTGCAGCTCTGTCTTGCACAACCCTAGAGATAAAAACCTCCCTAACAAAAGCATGCTGACAGCGTGTTGAAGGCTGGCCCAGAGAAAACTTGGCCCTATGATTACAATGCATTTTCTTGCTTTCCTTTTCCTCCCTGCTAGGCATCTATCGTCTCTGTGGCCCACATTTTCTCAGCATATCCATGTGAGCCCAACTCATGACTCCAGCCTGTCCTCTGCACTCTGCAGCTTCACTGCCTCACTACACATCGGTCAACATGCCATTGGTTTTCTTCCTACTCTCTTGAAAATGAAAATAAAACCACTAAGCTTCTCCCAAAACAAGTCACCAAGCAGAAATGAAGTAGTAACACTGAACAGAAACACGGACACAAACCAGTCATTTACAGGATGAGGATAAAGAAATGCAAATATGCACCCACCATTGCTTTGGACTTTTTAGTTTCTATTTTCTCACCTTTTGCTTTGGCACAAGAGCTGCTGCATGACTGCAAAATCAGAATGCCTGTAGTTACAGGAGCATCTAAGAAGCATTATTTTAGACAACTGTATCATGTAGGAGCCACACTGTACAGAAAGTGCAGGAGGCACTGGGTGTGGGATGGCAAACACTAATCACAGAGGTCTCCGGCGGGGAGAGCTTGTGGTCAGTGCGTTATTGCTAAGAGCATGATGACCAGCAAGGGTTCTTGGTGAGAGCTAGGTGCATTATCCCACAAGTCCAACAGCTGGCCTGTCCAAGGCATTTCTGTGCATGCGACAAACAAGGCAGCTGCTTTGATTTGCAGGCATCTGGACAACACTTCCCTAAGGGGGCTCCTTTTTTTTTTTTCCTTTTTTGTTTGGTTCAAACCATTGATTTTCACCTGGTTTTGAGGAAGTAGCCAAACAATCAGTGCACATTCATTAAATTTAGCCCAGACCCTGCAGAAAATGCATAAACCTTTCAGTAAGCTGGCCAGAGGCTTGGCTTTGAAACAGAGCGCCTGAATGCAGCCCGTCTGGTTTCCGATTTCACGAGGAGTTTTGCACAGCTCTAGTGCTGGTGCTGCAGCAAGGAGCTTTTGAAGCCGCTACTTGGCATATGTTTTCTGTTTATTTTCTAATAAAAGAAGAATTATATGCACTATATTTTCTAAAAAGCAACCGTACTGGCACCAAGCCACGGGGAAACAATTGCAAAATTCCTTGATGCTTTCCTTTAACATTATGTTCTGGCAGCTCTGTTTACAAGCGGAAGTGACCTCTTTTTTAATTAACTTATTTAAGAAATAAAATCCAGGAAGGTTTATTAGTCCACTCTGGCAAACACAACAAACAGGACTCTGATCACTTTTACTTACATCAGGACACTTAAGAAGTGTGCGAGTAGATGTTTTTCAACAGCTAGCTAGTGGGTGCCTGACCATGGTTTATGCATCAGAACCCCCTCCCATGAGCACTAACAGTTAAATTCTCATCACCATCAAAAGGAGTAAGATCAAAAATGAATACTCAAAACTGTTTTCCTGTCAAAAATATATATATACATACATATATATATTTTTCCACACAAATATGGCAACTGAAGAGTCTCCTGGGGTTGGCTAATCACATTTCAATAATGTTGTCACAGCAGCACAATGTTTACTAGAAACCCCTCAGAAACCCTTGTTTCACCTTTTTTACCACACGCCTTTGTGATTATACTTGCACTAAAGACTCTAAGACCCATAGAGGAATAGCTGAACGACAGTGTCACAATCTAATGCACCCAAAGCGTGCACACTGCTGGCATTGTCGGGAAGCCTTTCACAACAGCTTCCCAGAAGAAAAGCTTGATCACTGTTATCCCCCGAGCCCCAGGGAATATCAGGCCAGGGCGAGCATCCGGCAGCCGCGGCATTTACGGCACTAGAGGAGATGATTTAATACCTCCCCGCGACAGATTTAAAAAGAGTCTTGAACCTTTGTCTCCTAAATCACACGCAGGTGCTGTCCTCTTCCAGGCACCAGTGCGTAAATTGGCATTTTCTTTTTCCCTATATTTCCTCTCCCTTGGTAAATCTTGAAATGCCGTCCAGGAGGGGCGCAGCTTCAGCAGGTGCCTTGCAGGGATGAACTCTGGGGCTTCATCTCCTGTTCCGCTACTCTACCATATCCCTTCTGAAGCTCATTCTGGTGATCACTCCTAAAGCAACAAAAAGACAACAAACAAGAGCCTGGCATGCAAACTTCGGCATTTTTGTCAGAAAAGCTTCCAGCGGCCTTTGATGGCCAAGCTCAGGTATTGTGCTATTAGTAATTCAGGGGTCCAGACATCCTTGAAAATGTCAAGAATTTGGATGAGGATTGCAGAGCCCAGCACACAGTGCATCAAAGATTTACACAACAAGACAGGAGATATTTGTACAAAGGGTGTATTTGTACAAAGGGTGTATTTCTACTGTACACACAGTGACTTCTGCAGAATATCGTTTTTTTCCAAAAATGAAATTGTTTGCAATGGAACAATCGAAAAAGAGAGAGGGTAAAGGAGAAGACAAAATGAAGTGGTTTATGAAAAAAGGCATGTTTAAGATACAATGGTGGGACAGGGTATAGTGAATTTAACAATCAACCTGCAATGACTTCCAAGCAACAGGATCCCTGAATGCAACCCAGCTCCGAGGGAGGGTTCACCTCCACTCTCCAGGCCTATCTTTTTGACCTTGTCTCTGTCGCATAAACTAACTGAAAAGAGTACATGTTTTTAGGTTCGTTTCTAAAATAACCAGACAGATCCCGAGAATGCTGTGCTGCCCACACTGGTCTCCTCTCGCCCTTTTTGGGGAAAGACGAGAGGAAATCCATACATGTTAGTCACATCATGCAAAGTGCTGCGGTGACAGGGATTTTTACAGGAAGGAGTTGAGAAATAAAGCCCTCTGCAGATCACAGAGAGCAATGGGGCCATGACAGCACATCAAGGATCGCTCCCAGGCTGACTTGGGTCTCCAGGGCAGGCCTCGGCTTTGCCCGTGTTTTGCTTTGCAGTAACTAAAAAGGGATATAAAAATAAAGAGACTTGAAGGGATCTGGTGCAGAACAAGCATAAGCAGGGAGAAAAGAGTGCAGTCAGCTACTTTCCTGAGAGTCAAGAGACAGTAAAAAGGTCATGCACACTTCTCATTTTTGCTGGTCTCAATAAAAGTGATTTCTGTTCCAAAATCAAAGCACAAAGAAAATCACCACAGCAGTGTAATCTAATCTAAAAAGCTTGTCCTTAGCTTTTTCCTCTCTGGTCCTTTAGTGATGCTCATTTCATCTTCAAGCAGTGGTAAGGGATAGATTTAATCTGTGGTGAGAAGTCGGTGCTCGGGCAGCCGCCCACCTCTTGTTCCTGCCCTCCCTTGTGGTCTGTGCCGTACTCCACTCCAGGCAAATCCTAGGAAGCAGCATAAGTGATTTCCTGGAATTCCCCTACATATTTCTCACAGAGTAAGTACATCATTATATATGAAAGCCAGCTGCGACTGTGCCTGCGTTTACTTTCCATCCTAAACGCTGAGCCCTGCAGAGATTTTTCATTTCACAAGACTGCTTATTCCTTAAAAATCCAGGCAAGTGCCCTTCCACGGAACAAAGGAAGACATATTAAAAACCACACCTAGGGCAAGCAGAACAAAATACCCGAAATGTGTGACTTTTAACGAGGCTCATAGTGAAAGTTGGACATATGGCGTATGCAGTAATTATTACTATAAGCACAACGGGATTCTCTCATTTCTCAGTCTGGAGACCTGATGGTGTTCAGGAAGGGAAGAAAAAGATCTAATCAAATCGTGAAAGGCACCCAAGCCCTCCTGTCTAAAGTGTCACTGCCTGAGACTACAAGTAAAATTTATAAGTGAAATTTTAAAGGGAGCTAGGAAAAATATTTTTCACTATTGAACCATTTAATGTGTTGCCTGCCCACAACAGCACTGTGTATAACTAGCCATTCTGCTTTGACACTATGGGGTCAGGAGTTTACCTTGCTATGTTTTCAGAAATGGTTAAAAAAATTGAGGATCTAGTACTTCAAATGCACTTCTGCAAGAGTGGAAAAAAAAATAATTTGCCAAATTTTAAATAGCTTAAATTGACCATGCTTGTCTAATTGGCTTTAAAACCTTAAATAAAAGTTTTATAGTACAGTCCTCACCTAGGGCCACCATCTGTTAGTCTGTTATGGCTACGAGTGACACTAACTAACCTATGGAAGTTTTGAGAACATTTTGTCTTTCTTCCCTCAAGTAACCCCACTTTTAAAAGTTTATTAAACTA